TGTGGCAGCCTGACCCTCATGCAGTGTTTCTGTTCTTTATTCAGTGCACTAATGCTCTCTGATTCCTTTGCTGGATGAAGGTTTGCAGTGTTGGAATCAGGACTTTCTTTTTATCATATCCAAGAGAAATTGTAGCTCCTCCAAGTCTCTGAATTCAGAAGCTATAAAGCACTAAATGGGCGCACTGCTAACTGAGCTGGCCACGTAAATGATGGATTTATGCAAATGTAGTGGTTGCTCACTGATTGCATTGGAATATTCAGTGACTGTGTCCTGTGAGTGCAAGGAATTATGGCCAGTGCCCTGTGCAGCCTCCAAAGTATGAGCCCATAAACTGTGCTGGACAAAAGTGTGATTATCTGAAATATGTAAGAGAAGTGGAAGATGAAGCTGTAAAAGAAATAAGATACATATATGGTGCATTAATCATAAGTGCTTGGACAGATGTTGTCTGTCTACCCCAGCACGTTCACAAAGCGCCTGTTGTGACTGGAATTTTACAGGGTCTGTCCCAAATTATGTTTGTGCAGCACAGTGAATAGCTGCAGTTGCAGTGAATAAGAAGAATGTAAAAAATGTTAAATAGTGTTTTATTGCAGATTTAGAATGAGAAATGACCTGTAAGCCTGCAGAGTGGTGTTAGTCAGAAATATTTTAAATAGTTGTGCCTAGCAAGGGCAGCCTTTCAAACACAGTGAGTGCTGTCTGCCAGAAGATGGTGCTCTAAAACACACCCTAGAATTGCAATTTTTAGAAGCTACGATCAACTGCAAATAAGAATTTTAAAAAACAGGTCAGAACAGAGTGATTTGCAAACAAATCACCCAAGTCCAAATACATATTAACATCCAAACTTCATATTCCAAAATGTTTGCTAATACTTAAAAGTATTACAACACAAATTAGTGTACAGGATCCAAACATGCAAAACAAAGCAATATAAACCCAATACAGTTACCACTTCAAAGAAAATCAAAGCTTCAGTCTCCCATCCCAAAATATAAACCCCTCTTAGCATAATGTTGAATTAATTTCATAGTTTTTTGGGGTTTTATGTTTGTTTGGGTTTGAGGTTATTTTCATCAGGCTTAAAACAGACCAGAGATAAAAGAATAATCATTTACATTCCTTTCCAAAAAACTGATCAGTTTTAAAAGTGGAAAACAGTTACCTTGTGGATGTCAGGGTATGATTTCATTGATTTCTTAATGCTGGAGACAAAGAAATAAATTGCGAAAAAACAGGTAGCATCCAGTTCAGGAGGCAAATCTGCGGAGCAGCTTCAAATCGTTCAGTTGATGAAGTGAGACAAAGAACTCCCTCCTGCATTGTGTCAGCTCTGATATAACACATGCACACCACAACACAAGTCGTGGGATTTTTGCCATTGTCTTCACCCCAGCTCAAGTTTCCACGGGGAGTTCTTGCACTGACAGATTCCCTGCCTTGTTGGTAATAAACTGTTTGCAGCTCAGAGAAGCAAAGCCCAGCAGAGCAGCAGGTCTCCCTGCTTCCTTGTAGATGCTGGCAATTACAGGGAACAGGAATGCTCAGCCTGGGAGGCCCAGCCAGCTGATATTCACAGATCAATAACCCCACCTGGCTATTTTGCTCCCTTTAAGTCTTAGACAATGAAGTTTATTTAACAGAAGCAGCTGGCTTTCCTTAATACCTGATTTACTGAGATAACTTAAAATCAGGCATAAGGATAACCACACCAAACCATGAAGTTCAGCTTTTCCAACACCCCCCAACAGCTCTTGTGCTCTTACTGCAGAAGTGTCATTCTTTTTTGCAGTATGTACATATTACTGCTGTTTGTTATAATTAAGGAAGTACTTTGAAAATCAGGAAGGGAGAAAACCACATCAGGATTGTCAAGCTGTAACTACCTACTGTTTTGGATTTTCATGTATCTAACAGTGAGGAGAATGATGGGGCTACTTAGTACAGCAACATCAGCTTTAATTGCACTCTTTTTGTTTGCACAGCCTGGTACAGATGGTCCTCTGTGAGCAATGCAGCAGTGCAGTGTGTGCTGTGTACCACTGCCACCATATTTATTTACTCCACCTACATATTTATTTACTCCACTCCTGGGCCTGCATTGCCCACACCTGGGGCTGTACTGCAGATAAATGTGAGCTTTTTCATGTGTGTGACAGAAGTACAACTCCCTGGTGGGGGGGGGGGCAGGAGCATTGCCCCTGCAGCAGGGCTGAGAGGGGAACACAGTACCAGGATGCTACTTATCAAGCACAAGCTTTCTAACAGTAAAAGGGATTTTTACCATTTGATCCACACTGCTTACTAAAAAGGGTTATTTCCTTAGACTCCCCAGAATGTTTTTCCCATGAGTTCACACCCAGCAAAGCCCATGCTTTCATGACTTATGTAGCAATAGACTTAGTGCAGAAACCTGCTGGCAGCAGAAGCAGCACAGAACTGAGCGGCCTCAAAAGGCAGAGCAGGAACAGATTTGTGGCTCAGAAGGACAGAGCTACAGAAGGACACTGCTGCTGTAAGAGTAACCTGTGGCTTCAGCTCTGCCATCCCTGCTGTAAGGATACCTGCCCAAAATGCCACCTCTCATGAGCACATGGGCAGGGCTTTCCAGCACGTCCCACCCACTCTGTCTGATTAACAATAAAGCTGTCTAATGTTGTAAGGTTAAATAAAAAACCAAACAGCAGCAACAACAACAAGAACCAACCAAATCAAAACACCCTTAAAACAGAGTGCATTTTTTTGAGACGTGCTCTGATGGACCAACCTTCCAGGCTGTCTATGAGTCTCTCCCAGTTTCTCAGGAAGGCGACCTTACAAAAGCTGACACTAAGCGGTGCTAAGCCAGTAACAGGAGAGAACAGCCTCGTACAGGCCCCAGGAAGGATTGAAGGAGCTCTGCAGCAGGACATTTGAGGGCAGCATGTCATGAGATGCCCGCTGCCACTAACAATCTTCATCCCAAGTGGGGCAGATGAAGCCTCAAGTTAAAGGTGGTCTCCACGTGCTCTGTGGGAGGAACCTCTCTTTGTTCTTGGAAGGGATGTGTCCATGCAATGTGGCTGACAGCACAGTTTGTGTCTGTGCTCACAACTTTACCAGAGTCTGTGGGTTGAATGGGACAGGGACTCGAGTTTTGATCCCCTCACAGCCAGGGCACGGCCCCTTGTGAGCGGCAGCAGCGAGGGGCGGCACCAGGACACAGCTGCAAAAGGTGCCTTCACACACCTCTGGGCTACAGGTGAAATGTAACTTGTTCCACAAGTAGCACACCTGTGTAGGAGATGGGCAAAAAGTGTAATGAAAGATGTGACCATAGAAAAGAGTATTTGACTCCCAAGAGTGGAGGTGTTTGCTCATGTATGTCCACATGGACATGGACTGCCTCTGTCATGCCTAACAGATTTGTTTTTCACATCTTGCTCTGCACATTTACATAGTTTATTGAATTTTTTCCTGCCACCCCTGCACACACAAGAAAACAGATTGCAAATCAATTGCCCTCCACAGCCAGGGACATTTTGGAGCACACAGTTGCTTTTAATGTTTAATTAGGTCTGATAACAGAATAAAATCTTCTTGGCAGAGCAGAGTGCCTATAGCTCAAACCTGAGCCATATTTCTCCTGTCACAGGGTGCTCAGCACCCAGCAGTGTAAGAACACCCGTCAGATACCTGCTGTTAGAGCTTTGTCAGCACTTCTGCCATCAACACAAATGATTGTCAGGGAGCTGCAGCTCAGTTACGAAAAAACCCAGACCAAACAAACCTGTAGGCTACGCTTTAGTACTGGGGGTCTTGTCGTTTTGAGGGGTTGTTTTCTGACACCTTTTCTTGTGAGCACACAGACGTAAATAGCAAGCGGTGCCGGGTGTTTCATCACCGATCAACAGATGAAGCTCTTGCAGTGACACACACAGTAGCTGCTTTTTTACACTCCCGTCAGCTCACAGATTGCTTTAGGCCACAATATGTTTATCATATGTCTTAGCGCTGCCTTTTATTTATTTATTTTTTAAAAAAAGACTTAATAAATAACTGGCAACAGCCCTCAGCTGCCGTGCTACAAACACAATTCCTTTCAGCGGAGGCACCTGGCCGACGCCGGGGACTCCGCACAGGTGCGGGGCCGCTCCCGAGCGCCGGTCCCCGCAGGGATGCCGCTGTTTGTGCGGGGGAGCCCCGGCCGCAGGTGGGGCAGAGCCGCCCCTTCCCCACGCGGGACGAGGCCGCGGGTCCTGCCGGAGAGTTCCAGCAGCGGAGCCCCCCCGGGCCGGGACCCCGAGCCCCGCGTGGGGACCCCGGGCGCGGTGACAGCCCCGCCGCCGGCCCCGGGCCGGGCTCGGCCGGCCCCAGCCGAGGAGGGAGCCGCCGACCCCGCCGCGGAGCAGCGCCGCGGCCGCCCTCTCCCTGACTGACTTGGGGAAAATCATTGTTTGGCTCCGGCATTAACTACATTCCAGCGGGACGCAGCGCCCAGTCTCCTTCCTCGCATTCCTGCCCCACACAAAGGAGTCCCTGCCTCGCCGCGCCCCGCGCCGCGCTCGCCGCTCCGCGCTCGCCCCTCCGGGCCGGCCGCCGCCTTCGCCCCCCGCCCGGGGTGCGGGCGGGCAGCGGCCCCGCCGCGGGGCGGCCGCCGGGGGCGGCGGGGGCAGGGACCCGCCGAGCGCAAATTCCTCCGCGCAGCGCGCCATTGACTGGACCGAGCAACTTATTTAAGGCTGGAAAGTGACACAGGGGCGCCTCGTCTGTGCCGGCCGCGCTCCGCCGGGCAGCTCGGCCGCACCGAGCCCAGCGCCGCGGCGCGGGATGCCGCCCGGGTGACCGCCCCGAGCCCGGCCGCCGCCTCGCCGCTCTCCGGACAAGGAGCCGCGTCCCGCCGCTGCCCTGCCAGGACCGCGGGAAGGGGCTTTCTTCTGGGGTGCTTTTTGTGTTGCTGCATTTGGGGATTTTTTTTTATTTTGGTTTTTTTTTTTCTCTTTGACTTTTTTTTTTTTTTTTTTTTTTTTAACCCTTCTTTCTCCGCTCCGGGCTGCGCTTTCGCGGAGTTCACCGTCCTCCCCCGCCCCGCGCCGCCGGGCTCCGGCCGAGCATGGAGAAGTACGAGGAGGACCTGGCACTGAAGGCCACCAAGTTCATGGAGGACCTGTCCCTGTACGAGCCCTGCCCGGAGGGTCCGTACGGCCGGGGCGGCCGCCGGGACCTGGCGCTGCACCCCGACCTGGAGGAGACCAAGCGGGTCATCGCCGCCCACATGACGGCGGAGCAGCGGGGCCGGAAGATGAACGGCACCGCCGCGCCGCCGCCGCCCGCCGAAGGCTTCCCCGCCGCCGCCCCCTGCGGCAAAGCCGCCCCGCTCCGCGCCAACGGCCGCGCCGCCGCCGAGCCGGGCCCGGGCCCGCCGTGCTGCGAGGAGGGGCTGTGCACCCGCTCCGAGGTGGCGCTGCCCTGCTACAGCGGCTTCGCCGACAAGGGCAAGCGCTACTCGGCCGAGGGCTACCGCTACGCTGCGGGCAGCGCCTACGAGGGCGGCTACGTGGCCAAGGGCGGCGGGCGGGCGCCCGGCGGCCCGGACGGCAAGTTCGGCGCCGCCAGCCCGCGGGCCAGCCTGGCCGCCGCCTCACCGGGCCCCGCCGCCGAGCACGGCAAGTTCTCCAGCCCGCGCTCCAGCCTGGGCGGCGCGGTCGCGCTGCCCTACGAGAAGTTCTCCAGCCCCCGCTCCAGCCTGGTGGTGCCCGGGCAGGACAAGTACGGCAGTCCCCGCGCCAGCCTGGTGCAGTACGACGGAGCCGCCCTCAGCCCCCGCTCCAGCTACGCCAGCACGGCCAGCGACACCAGCAAACACTCCAGCCCCCGCGCCAGTCTCACCGGCTACGACGGCGGCGGCAGCAAGCCCAGCAGCAACCGCACCAGCGGCATCAGCATGGGCTACGACCAGCGCCACGCCAGCCCCCGCTCCAGCACCGCCAGCCAATACTCCTGCACCGCCAGCCCCCGCTCCAGCTACTCGGACTGCAGGTACGGCCCGCCGGGCAGCGCCGAGCCCGAGGGGGCGGGCGGCGCCGGGCTCGCCCTGGCCAGCCCCCGCTCCAGCCTCTGCGGCCCCGAGGGCCGCGGCTCGGCCGGCCCCGCCGTGGTCAGCCCCCGCTCCAGCATCTCCAGCCAGAGCTCGCGGAGCTCCCGCGGCTCCATGAGCGCCTACCCCGAGCTGCAGCTGCCGTCGCCCCGCTCGTCCCTGCTGGGGCCCGGCCTGCAGGAGGACGGCGCCGTGCCCGAGCTGGGGGACGCGTACCACCGGATCCATGCCCAGTCCCCGCCGCGGCACGACCAGCAGCACCCGGCCGGCGCCCCCGAGCCGCCGCCCCCCTACGCCTACAGCCCGACCAAAGGCTCCGCTTCGGCTCCCAAATTCAAGCTCCCCTACCAGGTGACGCCGTGCCGGGAGAGCGGCCCCAGCCAGGCGGAGAGGCGGCTGGAGGCGCTGACGCTGGAGCTGGAGAAGGAGCTGGAGATGCACATGAAGAAGGAGTACTTTGGTGAGTGGGGCGGGGGGAGCGGGCGGCTGGAGGGCGGCGGTGTGCGGGGCCGGCCGAGTCGGGCCGTGGAGAAGGCGGGTGTGCGATGCCCGGGGCTGCTCTGGACCAGGTGCCTGCTGAAGTCTCACATGGCCGCAGACACTGTCTGGTGTCCGAAGTGCTCGCACCGTAGTTCGCTCCCGGTATGTGAACCCTCTCCCGTGTCTTCCTAACGCGGTTTGTTTGGATGTGTGATGCTTCCCTTTCCACGTGCGGATGGGAGACTTGTCTGGAGTGTGATGAGAGCTGTTTGTGTAGTCGGGGCTTACAGTGATTCTCTTTTGTCTCCCTTCCTCACGGGCTGCTGAAGCTTCTCTGCTACCCTCCAGCATCCCAGAGGCTGTGGTGTTTGCCATCCTGCTCTCCTCAGTCTGTGCTAACTTCTGTAGATGACGAGAACTGCTGGAGCGGTTCTTAGTGAAATCTTTGAGCTAGTTCAGAACACCTGTGGGAGCCCAGCATTGTTCCCACCCCGCGAGGCCTCGCAGGGTCTGCTCAGCACACAGGGACATCCCTGTGACCGGAGGGGAGGTTGGAGGAGCTCTCGGCCCTTGCTGAGGTTAAATCGGCCTGTTGGTCATCTCCTGAATTTTTGTTGCTTCTTTATGGAAGAAAAGTAACTTCTTGAACTGCGGATGAGTGCGTGTGTTTTATAGCCACACTAGTTAGGATTAGCTTCCCGTCTTTCTTTGTGCTGGGTGGCAAAAGCTAAAAACACCTGGGAAAAGTTGATCCTGGAGCGTGCAAATTCTGCCCTCCTGCTCTGGGGGCTGCGGTGAGCCGGGAGCTCCTCCGAGGGCTCCGCGCAGCGACTGCAGAGCTCCCGCAGGGCCGGGAGGCAGAGCCCGGCAAGGTGAGGGGTGTGGATGAGCCAGCCCCATCGGAGGCCTTGGAGGGAATGGTTCTCTCCGTGCTTTGTGTGCGTTCCCGAGGATGGAGCCGCGTGTTCAGCCCTGGGGCTCTGCAGGGAACGAAGGACTCGCAGGGTTCTCTGCGAGAGAGACCTGGGCCGCTCGCTGGAGGTAGCTAAGTGAGCAGCAGCCTCTCTAGCAGGAAAACCTTTCTGTACGCTGCAGCGGCAGAGTTTCTCCAAGCTTTTGTGCCCAGACAAAGGAGGCTGAATGCGGTGCTTACTGCCTGCCTTCATCTGTCCAGGGCTGATAAGGAGGCTGATGGATCACCCGCTGCATCTCTCGCAGTGCTGGCACCTGGCAGATGCTCCTCAGCAGCTGAGGGGATCCTGCTGAGGGCACTTCTGAGGATGTGCTGCGTGGGGCCTGTAACACACGAGCTGCAGGCAATGTTACCTTCAGCATTTCCACGGTGGACAGTGAGAGGCTGAGGAGTAAAAAGTAAGAGGTAAGAAAGAAATTGTCTGTCCTGAGCCTCTGGGAGGTGTTTCCAGTGGCCTGGGAAAGCTGGGTGTGCAATCAGGGACTCCAGGAGGAAATGTGGGGGAATCTGTGTTGTGGATAGATTTTCTGGTTTGTCAGATTTGGCTGCACTGTGCTCCACAGCGATGTGTTGCAGCAGGCCCCGAGCCTCGGGAGATGTGCCCAGTGCGGGGTGAGCAGTGAGCCTGTGCCTGGGAAGCCTCTGGGATGCTCTGGAGGCTCCTGCTGAGGCAGAACGAAGGATCACTGCTGTCACTTCCACCCTGGAAGCAGATGAAACCCAGAGAACTGGGGTGCTTTGAAAAGGCAAGTTGATTTCTGTGAGTTGTTGAGGTTTTGATAAATGCTCGTGGATTTGGTGCCATGGTTTTGGTTCAGGTGATCCATGTAGGTGAATGCTGAGTTTTGGCATGAGAGGCTGGCAGGGCTGACCATAGGCTGCTGGGTCAGAGTCAAGGAGAATGAGAACAGAATAGGGAGAAGTCTGTTTTTAGTTCAACTTACCTGAGAGTGTGTTAAGTTAATAAAAAGAAGTAGGGAAAATGCATTGATATTCACTGCAGCTTGAGCATGCTGCAGCTGTGAAGTGTGTGCTTAGCACTAGTGTCTGGCACAGTCCAGAGACAGTGTTTGGGTGTTGTTTGGTGCCTGTGGAGAGCAGAAGTGTTGAGCCAGTAGGTCCAACAAGGTAGAGGGAACAGAGGAGATGCTTTAATGCTCCTTAATTAGATGAGCTTGATTGTCTAATGAGTAAATGCTGATATGAGGACACCAGGTATTTACTGTGCTGTGTCCTGTCATCCTGTGGTTGTTGTCTGTCCCCCACACCCCCAGTAAAATTAAAAATTGAGCAGTGTGCTATTTTGAAGCTGAGGTCAAGGGACTAGCCAGCTCTGCTTGGAGGAGGAACAGCTCTACCCTGCCTCCGTCCTGGCTGTGGGTCAGTTTGGGTGAGTTCCCCCAAGGGTGCTGGTAGGCCCTGGCTGCTGTCCCACACCTCCCTGCTGTGCTGAGGAGGGATCTGTGGTCTGGGACAGACAAGTACAGGATGGGGCAGAAGTGCAGGGTCTGATCTGCAGCGGGGCTCGGGGCAGCCAAGCCAAGCAGGGTGCAATCCCTCAGGTGTGCTGGACTCACAGCTGGGCCTGAGCAGTGCTGTGCTGGGAGCTCTGCTCTACTGCTTCAGCTTCTCCATCCTCCCCTTCCTCTCCCAGGCTTCAGTGCATCTGTAGAGAGAAGGAAGATGCCCTCCTTGGTTTAATCTGAGTAAAGATGCCAGTGCTGCCAAAGGAAGGCTCTTCCCCTGCCTGGTTGCACAGGTGACTGCACCATTCCACTTCCAAGTGCTCCCTCCAGCACCTTGCAGCCACCTGCACCACTGGTGTGAGGAAAACAAAGCCTGCAGAGGAGGAGGGAGAAGAGGGAGGGTTGTTTGGGGCTGGATTGGTGAGCTGCTCCAATTCATCCTCGTCAAAGAGATGGCTGGAGCTGACCCAAGGCAGAGGGTGCAGACAGAGGGCTCCAGGAAGCTGAGACCCTTCCTTTGGCAGCAGCTGAATTGGGTAAGGCTGTGAGACTTTGTTCCCTTGTAGCTGCTTCCTGTGCATTCCCTGCCCAAACCTCTTCCTCTGAGACCCCCTGTCAGGGTACTGACAGTTTACTAAATGTGCTTGGTTTAGTGGCAGATGCTGAGAAGTGAGGTAAAAAAAAA